GTCGTTAGAGAAAAAGAGGAGGAAAATTTTTTGTTTGGTTACATGAACACCCAATATTAAAATTACGTTCATATCCATAAGACTTTTTTAAATAATGTGCTTTTCCTTGAACCGTCAAATTAGCAAATTAAAGGTTACTTAATTATTATCAGCCATATCGAAATCTATGGTGATAATGACTAATCAAATGATTAATGAAAAGGTAGAGATGCATCGCAAAGCACAGTGTCTTATACATTGACTTATTCGAATGCATACAACATAGTGATATATATTATAATAAAGCGCCAAGTGTATGCTTATTTATGATCAAAGTTGACAATAGCACTCAAAAAACCATTCCCAAATGTCAATTTCAAACTCGATGTGTTTAGATGAAAACTTTTCTTCCCTGTAGGATTAATGATGTCTCGGATCTGGTCCACCTGGACTAAGTCGAGACTTATATGTTGGAACCCTACAGCCGAATCTTCTTCCGCGTTGTTCTTCACCAAAGTTGGCGTAACCAGAGGACGACATAAAAACCGTGAAAAAGACAGAAACACCAATATAAAGCACATCCACAGTGAAATCACCATTTTTGACTTGGCCATTGATTCCTCTTCAACAATTTCACGGAGAGTTAATTCTATGTAATATATGGCGTCTTTCCTTATAATTGCTCTTGGCACAGGTGCTTATCAGAGTTGCAGAACTTGTCTGATATATATAGGCCACATGATATGTGAGCTGGTGATTTGATGAGAATATTTAAAGGGTTTTAAGGTCCTTTGATCTGCGCGCATGCATTGAACTAAAGCCAAAGCATGTGCAAGGTCACAATTCAACTTGTCAATGTAGATCAACTCTTATTTGCTGGTCGAGATTTTCCTTCCTAACGAATGCTTAATCTCTTTCTCCGCATGTCTCGTACTAAGAACAATTGCAATATTAAATGTTTTTGCCAACATAACGCGAAGAGTATTTGCTATACGTCCGTTTTGGACGTACTCAGAACTGCAGCTAACATGATTTCATTTGATTGAATTCATCCAATTTTTTATAGCAAGTTCATAGAGAACTTTCGAAGGCTGCAAACTTTCTGAAACCTTTTTTGTTTTCACTTTTCAAACTCAAATCTGAGAATTTTCGGACTTTGATTTTTTACAATAGTCTTACGTACGTCAACAGAAAATGCCAAAGGTTGGCCGTTTGAAACGCGCTTAATTTAATTGATTTAGCGTATCTAAAACAAGTTTTTGTCAGATAGTAAGGACCTACGTGAATCCTAACCAATCGATATTGTTCTTAATTGATTCTGATACGACTTAAAGTTATTGCACTTATTTAATGAAATCCACCATGGATTGAATGGCTTTATGTTGTTAAGAAGAAAACAAGGAAGACCTAAAAGACAAAATAACACCTTCACCAAAAGAAAAATAGAAAAGACACAGACGTACAAAGTAACGCACACTATATAATGTTTCTAACTTAACTTTTTTTTAGGCACAATGATAAGTTTTGGTTTAAACATAAATTTTCTTCAGTTCATTTTATGAGTAGAAAAATTTATGATGGTATACTTTTCATTAGTTATCTCAGTAAAACTACTTGTTGTGACAAATGTCATGGCAATATCATATTCCTGGCAGCTGCTCTTGACAAAAAGGTATCCCTCCATTAATTAACAGCCAAGAACTAATTTCTTTTGAAGCGTAGAAATTACAGGAGTAGCATTAATTTAACTGTACCAACAATATCCTTTTCATGCATAGGTATTAGGGACTTCTGCAACGTCTTTGCAAATATTCAGTTTCTTTGGTGGCATTCCATATGCATGGGCATACCCACCCTGAAAAGTCACACAAGCGTGCATTCCCGAAATGGAAGTTCAAAGAAAATATGATAGAGTCAAAATAATGAAGCTAAAAAAAAAAGTTAAAGAGATTCCAGGAAAGAAGACTCGGGGCTTGTTTGATTTTTGTTTTCAAAAAATATTTTATATTTTCAAAAACAAAAAAATTAAAAAATTTGTTTGGGTAATTTTTTTATTTAATTGTTTTCAAAACTGTTATAATTTTTTTTGTTTTTAAGAACAAAAAATTATAAACATTTTAAAGTCATTTTTATTTTATTTTTCTTATTTTCCAAATATATTACATTTGATTATTAGAAATTATAGTTAGCTTGATCAATTTCTATCATAAAGCACTACCATTAACCTCTTGCAATTATCAATATTGGCCTTTTTTTTAAGTTCTAAAACTTTTTTAAATTAACATAATCAACCATATTTTCATTTTTTTTGTTTTGAAAAACAATTTTGAAAATATTATAGAAACTAAGCAGGCGCGTAGTCTTTTTATTGCTTAATTCTTAGAATCTATTGTAAAAAGAGTTTAGAGAGCTTTATTTCAAAATGAGAAATGCTTTTTAAATGAGTTTGGAAAGGAATTACAAAGGTTAACCTATCAAGACTAACAAAAATAATTTATTAGCTACATAGGCGTTGTGCCAAAGGCAAACGTGCCCATTACAATTAGGAGTTGAAATGATGTTAGTCCAGTAACAAAGAATTATATTTGGGAGCAAGTAGAGGTAAAATACTTTACTCATAATTATTATAATTAATTATAATTACTGGACTATAAATCTAATTAATTTTCTTGTTTTACAGTCAGCGTTCACAATTGATGTTAGTTGAATGAAATTTGTCATTCAATGAGTTGGAAAGGCAATGCGGATATTTTTGTATTTCATTGGAACGAAATACAATAAAAAAATCAGCCGGAAACATTAGTGCTAAAGTTTCCGAATTAATGAGGCCATTAGTCTCACAAGAACAATGGGATGAATTTATTGCCCAACATTTTAAGGGGCAATTCCAAGTAAGAACTATAATTTCTTATTATCAATATATATATATATATATATTTGATATGATTCTATATGTTTTACATAGGAATTGAGCAACCAAAAGAAAGAGTTGCATGAAAAAGATATATACCCTCACAAGAAATGGCACACAGGATGTGCAAAAATTGAGCAACAAATAGTATGTTAATATTTAGGCTATATAATTTTAGTTTATTTTATTGATATGTGCACTATTAATGTTCAACTTTATTTAAATGCGTAGATCGAGCGAGAAGGTTCAGGAGCAAGTTCTGTTTCACATCATAAACTCTTCATAGAAGCCCGGACTAATAAAGAAGGAAATATTGTTGACAAACGTGTTCAAGAACTTGCTAACAAATGCGTAAGTACATTATTTTAATATTGTCATTTTTTCTTATAATCAATTAATAAACTTAACTTTCCCATTATATATTGCACAGGCTGAGATAGAGAAAAGTGGCCTACCTAATGATGGAGATGTCTTGGGCAAGGCACTAGATAATCCTGAACACTCTGGTCAAGTGAGGGGTTATGGCTTTGGTGTCACAAAAAAAAAATATTTGGGACACAAAAAAAGACAAAGTCAACAGAGGACGTGGGCACAAGGGCTGAGAGTGCCACACTGAAAGAGGAGCTATCTAGGCAATGAGAATTGATTGATACCTTGCTAAAGGACAAGGAAAGGCAGGAGGGGAAGTTTCATATTAGTCATAGCGGGAAAGGTAGTTTTAGTGTAACACAGCCCGTTAAAAATCTCCCTGAGGTAAAATAATACTTATTTATTTCACTTATATTTCACTATTTTTATTTTTCATAGCATTAATATAGTATATTACTCATTAATATAAGGTGAGGATATATGTGAGTTGTTAGCAAATAGCCTGAATCGTCATATGGTTGCTATCGATCGAGTGTTCAACATTCCTAGAGACACATTACATAATATGCCACTCCCTACATCCTATGTACAAGTTGCTATTAATGTGCCTAAAGATCTCAACTATCCATTACCTATTTCCATCGAGGATGCAGGGATTGTAAGAGAGGCAATGGGTAGCTTTGTTAGATAGCAAGCTATTGATGTTAAGATGCCAAGTCCAAAAAAAGCTAACAAAGATGCACAATCCAAGAAAAAGACCGTGCCCCGATCTAGGCTTTCCTTAAAAATTGTCTCGCATGTAGCTATGCCTGAACAAGAGCCTCAATTGTCAAGCCAGCATTGAAATTTACTTCAAGCATATGCAATGACTCATAGGTCTAATCCTCCGATCTTGCAAATCTCATTTGAGACAGGAATATACGGTGCACCACAATATGATATACTTTCGCTCGATATTATAGATGAAGTGCTACAGCATGAGATGACCAACCTCACTGTTCTCAACTTTTATATACAGTAAATTATCTTTTATATATGAATAGTTAGTATTCTAAATATATATATTAATCCATTTGATATATTGATAGTAGGTGCTTGTATGAAAAATTTATTGTTCCTCTTGGCCTACAAACGAAGTTCATTTTAGTTAGTCCCCATGAGATTGGTGCACATGCTTTAATTAAAAAGGACAAGATTTTAGATCAAGCCAAGCAATTAAGTGAAAATTTTAAAGCAAGGGGTCAAAAGAGGACATTATTCTTAATACCATATTGCCAAGGGTAACCTACTTCTTACTTATATTAATGAATTTGTTAAGATTAATTTAGTCAATTAGTTATAATTTTATAGCACTTGTTAATGCTATTAGAGACCATTGGAGTTGATTGCCACTAAACCATATGGTAGCACTCCAATAATATATTATCTTGATTCTCTTGGTGGAAAATCAGAGAATAGACAAATTTTATTGGAGTTGATTAATATGCAAGTGCAAAAAATAAGTATTTTATATATTTAATTGTTTATGTCACGCCTCGAAAATAGAGGGTGACTGGCACGGGTGCGAACTACATCATGCATTCCCGTAAGCCTTAAAATAAAAATTCCTTCCATTTTAAAAATAATCAAATTATATAGAAATTCTAACACTTTTAATATTGATTGTCATAACCAGACTTCAACATTTTTTTTAAAAAAAAATTTTGATAGCACCTCCTCTGTAAATACGATCTTCTGAAAATTCTAAAACAAAATTTTCTTGAAAATAGTATCAATCAGGAGCTTAGCTCCTTCCAGCCAACAACAGCATGTAAATCAAAATAAAATCCTAACAACAATCTATGTGGAGCAGCTAATCTTTCTTTTAAATTAAAAATACATACGACTTAAAGATTTATATCAAAAAGTGACAGTACCAAACAAAATTTCCACCCAATGTAGCTATATTGCCCTTCAGAGGTCGTTGGTAGGATCAGCGTTAGCTAACAAATCTGAGACCAAAAATAAGTTTTCCAGTGAATAACGTCCCAACAATAATTAATTGATCATGAATAAACAAGAAAGTTCAAAATAATTATACAATTAAAGAGACAACTTCTTTCATGGAAATTCAATAAACTTCAGAATAAAATAGCTCTATAAGCTTTTAAATAAAATCTTAAACCATTGAACTATCATAACAAATGTTAATATCATCTAATTTCAAGAAAGCACAAAATGAAATAAATATTTTGTAAATAATTTATTAAATAAAAACCAATGGAATATATAAAATCACTAAATAATCCAATTCACAATTTTAGGGACTTATCAGAACAATAAACAAACGTGGACACACAATCCACGAGGGTAAATAACCAAATGCGGCTCATGCCACGAAGACAAACGTGGACACACAGTCCACGAGGGTATATAACTAAACGCAGCTGAAGCCACGAAACAAACGTGGACACACAGTCCACGAAGGTAATGCTAACCAAACGCGGCTTTAAGCCACGAAACAAACGTGAGTACGATGCTCACGAATAACCATCCCTCCATTCCACGTGCGTTGGCCATCGCATGGGGCTAGCACCTCCTATACACACCCTGCTAGCTAGGTGTACCATGGCGCGCCAAGGGCTAACGGAACTGCCGTTAGCAACCAGTGTTCTATATAAAGTCCCTTTGTAAAAACCATTTTCAAACATGCGAGAAATTGATCACCATTCAATCAAATTTTCCTTTCCAATGTCAAACTCGCATGAATCGTTTTCCCGTAACAATTCAATAATTTCCAAATTGAAATCCCATAATTAGAATTCAAACTTGCATTTACTGATTAACTAAAATGATCAATCCTGGTAAAATAATTTCACAAAATAAAGTAATTTAATCAACAAAATATCTCATAATCACATTGTTGTCGTAAAAAAGAATTTGCATAAAAATGTAATATTTGAATAAAAGAGATTTTAATGAAATATCAGTTGGGACGCTATCCACTTACCTGAAATTTTGGGAATTTACAAATTCACCTCTAACCATCGTTCCAATTTCTCCTCCTCCAAATACCCTGTAAATTAAAATAAAATTCTCTTTTTTTTTCCTTCTAACTTTCTATAAATCCAATTATTTCCTCCTAACATTACTACTATAAAAATTTAGCTATGGAAAATTTAAAATTTAAACTTTTACACTTAATAATCCCTTTGGCTCATTATTCGAATAAAATATCATCTCCCCTTAATCCTTTGTCAAAGTACCAACCATATATTATTTCCAACCCACTCATAAGAGTTTCTAGTATTCTCATCTTTTATCACAAAACTTATCCACAACCATGTATCTCCTAAAAGTTCAAATAGTTGATACTAATTTCATACTCAAATTTTCTTTAAAATCTTCAAATCAAATTCATGAGCAATAATACTTAAATTTTTTTTTTCAAGCTCAAACTAACTCCTTCCTCTTTGATTCTATCTCCCACAATTCTTTAACAGATATAAGTAAACATTTGGCTTCCTAATTTTCTTCTCTTTATTAGACCAATCAGTCTTAACTTAAGGAAATTAAATCACCAATTCCCACATTCCCATAGCAAGACTAAACCAGAAATTCATTTTCAATTTACACTCTTTCCTTCTCTCCCAGTTACGTTAGTAACAGCAGCCAACAGGACAGAACACAATTGCAGCATTACTCTACCTTTTCATCCATTCACACGCAGCGAGATTTTCTAAAGAAAAAAAAAAGGAGATTATCTTATTACCTTAGACAGACCAACAGCACACGAACAAGAAAGGAGGAGGCACTTCGAACAGTGAAGACGGAAGGACTGTCACAGTTAATGAAGAACGGATGAGCATACCGATGATAATAAAATGAACAAGAAGCAAAATAAATCTCAGCTCACCCAAGCCTTTGCACACAACGAAGCAACAAGGAAAAAGAAAGAGATTCAGCATACTTGAAACAATGACAGAGACAGAGGAACGACTGTGAGACAGGGGAAGAATTCGCAGCAGTGGCAAAAGAACAGCGATAAGCCACCGATGATAGCGACCCACACGAACAGCGACGTAGCCATTGGTTGAGAAGGAGGGTGCGGAGATCGATGAGAGGCAGTGCAAGGGTTTGGTGCGGACTCTCAACTCTGCCTCTGCTCTAGAAGACTCGAAGAAGACAAGAATAAAAGAGAGAGAGAGAGAGAAAAAAATCTGATCAGGATGAGGATAATTTGGTAATTTCTTACAGTGACAGAAAAAAAATAAAACTCCCTATGGTCTTGTTCAGATTCGAACTTGGAACCTGATGGTTGATGTATATGCATTCTTCCACTACACCAATACTCCATATTGTCACATTTGTTCTAAGAATTAATATAATCACTATTAAAATACAAACTTATATACTTAATTTTACTTAAAATTTATGGGTTATCACATTCTCCCCCCCTTAGGAAATTTGGTCCTCCGAATTTAAATTTGTGCTTGCCTCAATCCTCAAATAGATGTGGATACTAACACACATATCACTTTTGACTTCCCATGTAACTTTTTTTTTTTTTAAAGAATGATTACGCCACAACACTTTCACCAAAGTAATTTCTTTACTTGTCTATCCAAAATGGCCACAGGAACTGCCTTGTAAGATTAAGTCGGGGCCTATCTGAATCCGTTTAGTTTCTATCACATGAGAAGAGTCATATAATATTTCTGTAGCATTGATACATGAAAACTAGATAAATACCTGATAATTAAAACAATAATGCCAAACGATAAACAATTGCACCAATTCTCTCTAAGATTTCAAATGGGCCCATATACCTTGGGCTCAGTTTACATCTCTTCCAAAATCTCATCACTCTTTTCATAGGAGACACTTTAAGAAATACTTTATCCTTGACCATAAATTCTAACTCTCAATATTGGTTATCAACATAAGACTTCTATCGAATCTAAGCTGTTATTAATCTTTCTCTAATTATTTCCACTTTCTTAATGGCATCTTGCACCAAATCTGGTTCCAAAAGCTTAGCATCACCAACATCAAATCATCCATTATGAGATCTACATTATCTATAATCTGTCATAAAGTGCCTCATATGAAGCCATTTGTATACTAACTTGATAACTGATATTGTTGGCAAACTCTACTAATGCTAAGTAACGATCCCAACTACCACCAAAATCTAAAATACAAGACCTTAGGATATACTCAAGTATTTGAATGGTTCTCTCAGACTGGCCATATGTTTGTGGATGAAAAGTAGTATTCAGATTTAGTTGAGTACCTAAAGCATCTTGGAATGATCTCTAGGACCGAGAAGTAAACTGAGAACTTTCATCAGAAATTATGGATACTGGGACTCCATACAATCGAACAATTTCATCAATATACAATTAAACATACTTATCGACATTATAAGTCATCTTCGCTGGAATGAAATGAGCTTATTTAGTCCATCTATCAACAATAACATAAATAGAACCATACTCTCTTCCTGGTCAACTTCGAACTTAGTGTTACTTCCTGCTACGACTGCTTCCTTTAACTTGCATAACTTTGGACCCAAGAATTGAGCACTCTTAATCTGATCTATTAAAGAAGAACGAGCTTGTGCATGAGTTAAAAATGCTACCTTATCAATAATTTCAAACTTTACTCCACTCTACTCAAACTTAATAATTTCTTGCACTAAAGGCCTTCTTGCCAAAGTCATATGCACTAAGCTACTCATTGGCTTTCTACTTAACACATCAGTTATGACATTTGTCTTGACAGGATGATAAAGAATTAAACAAGCATAATCCTTAAGTAACTCCATCCATCTCTTTTGTCTACGATTAAGCTCCTTTTGCTCCTTAAGTTTCCTTAAAGCATAAGCAATAACTCACCCATGTTGCATTAAGACACGCCCTAGACCCACACGAGAAGCATCACAATAAATTGCATACCCTCCGCTGCCTGATGGTAAAATCAAGATTGGTGCTGAAGTTAAACACTCCTTCAATTTTCAAAAATATCTTCATACTTGTCGTCCTATTCAAACTATACATTCTTATAAGTCAATCTCGTCAGCAGAGCAGTTATTATTTTATTTATTTTTTTTTTCAAAGGTCTTTGACAAAACGATGATAGTATCCTGCAAGACCCAAGAAATTATGAATTTCTGTAATTGTAGTACGCTGTGGCCAATTATGCACTGCTTCTACTTTACTTGGATCCACCTGAATACCGTCTTTAGAAACATGTCCCAAAAAGATCACTTTATCAAGCCAAAATTCATATTTAGAGAACTTGGCATAAAGTTGTTACTCCCTCAACATCTGTAAAACAAGCCGCAAATGATGTTCATGCTCTTCTGGGCTCTTTGAATATATCAAAATATCATCAATAAAAATGATCACGAACTTATCGAGGAATGGTCTAAACACCTGATTTACCATGAACGCTGCCAGTGCATTAGTTAAGTTAAATGACATTACAAGGAATTTGTAATGATCATATCAAGTTCTAAATGAAATCTTAGGTATGTCCTCTTTGATCTTTAATTGATGATAACCCGAACGCAAGTCTATTTTTTTTTTTTGAAAAACACTGGGCTCCTTGCGACTGATCAAAAAGATCATCGATTCGGGATAGTGGGTACTTATTTTTCACTGTCACTTTATTAAACTATTGATAATCGATGCAAAGTCTTAATGACCCATCCTTTTTACTTACAAAGAATACTAGTGCTTCCTAAGGAGATATGCCAGGTCGGATAAATTCCTTATCTAATACTTCTTGCAATTGAATTTTAAGTTCTATTAGCTCAATAGTTGCCATTCTATAAAGCAGAATAATAAATGATTGAGTATCAAAAACCAAGTCAATGGGCAATTCAATCTCCCAATCATGTGGTAGTCTAGGTAATTCTTTTGAAAAAGAACATCTAGAAATTCTTGAACAATTGGAACTCGATCCAACTTACAATGGGCTCTTCAATATCTCTGACCACTATTAAGAACCCTTGACAACCCTTTTGCAATAACCGTTAGGCTTTCCAGGCTAAAATTAAATTAGATGATCTTTCTATAAAACTCCCTTGTAATATAAAAGGAGTTTCACATGTAGCAACATCATTTAAAACTCTAGCACCTGTCTCGTTATAGCATAAACTCTCGCTAGTCTTTTCCTTGAAGAAGACTATCCTCACTTCTCATTTCCTCTTCCAAACATACCCTTACTGACTAAAGTAAGGTGGTCCTAATAAGTAGGACTAAAGATGAAGTAGGACGTGAAGGAAGTTGAACTAACCCATGACTTGAGATTGACGGAATATATTTCTTCTCAAATCACTCATTTGCCAGCATTCAAAGCATGCACCAAACACTCATTGCATGGTCCTTAAATAATATTTCTCATAACTAGCACAAAGAACTCTAATGTAACCCGATTGATTTAGGATTTGGAACTGACTAGGCTCGAGGCCTAACATGGCTAGGATTAGATCTCACGATAAGAGTACTTGCTGATGACAAACCATATGATCTACATCTAGACTACATGGCACGAAAGTGAGATTGACCTAAAAATTGATGACTTTTGGAGAAAGAACTAGGAAATTTCTCATTGTTCTCTCTCTTGCATTTCTTAGAAATTGCTTCCTCTACTTTATGTCAATTTTCAATTCTCAATGCGCTATTAATAATCTCAGCATAAGTAACATCACAACCCAACATAGGTGATATATTATCATGTATGTTTACTAACAATCCATATAGAAACCTGCTAATCCATTCCTTTTTAGTTGGTACAATATAGGAAGCAAAAGAAGATAACTCTGTGAACTTCTAATCATTTTCTATAATTGACATTCCTTCACTGTATTTTAGAGTTAAAAGCTCTTCAACTTTTTGCATCTTTGGTACTTTAAGGCATATATCGATTCAGAAAGGTAGTTTTGAGCTCTTCCCATGACAAAGACAATATCCTAATTGTATGCAGATGTGGGACTATCATTATTACTATTATTGCTAAACTGCTCACTACTTCTTAAGGCTAAAACATTGTAAATTTGACATACTGAACATTAGGGCACCTCAAGGCCCCAACATCTCTTCTCAATTCCTTTAAGAAAATTATATTAGGTCCTCTCGTATATTGATTCCCTAAAAGGAAAGAGGATTTAGCTTTAAAAATTCTGACAACTTTACTACAAATGGTCCCTTTAGCACAACATATGTTGAAGGGACAGCCTGTTTCTCAGACTGAAAACTTATTCGTTCATCTCTAGAAGGAATATCTTAGAGGAACCCAAAGGTTCAACCACCTCTAGTCTTGATCCTATTCTAATGCCGTCCTTTACATCTCAAGGGCACATCATCTATAAAAAAATTCTACCAGAAGTCTACTAGTAAAGCCCCTAGTAGATATTAGATGTTTGAGTGGCATGATTTACTATAAAAAGAGATAAAATAAATATTTAGTTTCAAATACAGTTTTATACAACAAAAGAAACCAATCACAAGAAACAAACGATATTCGAAAACTTCTTATAGAACCTTTAATGATGCCTCAATTATAATTATGCCCGGGTTCATAATGATAATTGAGACCTCACTAGAAAGTTCTTGCTCCACATAGATATCTAAAAACCCTAGCTCTGATACCAATCTGTCACGTCTCGAAAATAGAGGGTGACTGGCACGGGTGCGAACTACATCATGCATTCCCGTAAGCCTTAAAATAAAAATTCCTTCCATTTTAAAAATAATCAAATTATATAGAAATTCTAACACTTTTAATATTGATTGTCATAACCAGACTTCAACATTTTTTTTAAAAAAAAATTTTGATAGCACCTCCTCTGTAAATACGATCTTCTGAAAATTCTAAAACAAAATTTTCTTGAAAATAGTATCAATCAGGAGCTTAGCTCCTTCCAGCCAACAACAGCATGTAAATCAAAATAAAATCCTAACAACAATCTATGTGGAGCAGCTAATCTTTCTTTTAAATTAAAAATACATACGACTTAAAGATTTATATCAAAAAGTGACAGTACCAAACAAAATTTCCACCCAATGTAGCTATATTGCCCTTCAGAGGTCGTTGGTAGGATCAGCGTTAGCTAACAAATCTGAGACCAAAAATAAGTTTTCCAGTGAATAACGTCCCAACAATAATTAATTGATCATGAATAAACAAGAAAGTTCAAAATAATTATACAATTAAAGAGACAACTTCTTTCATGGAAATTCAATAAACTTCAGAATAAAATAGCTCTATAAGCTTTTAAATAAAATCTTAAACCATTGAACTATCATAACAAATGTTAATATCATCTAATTTCAAGAAAGCACAAAATGAAATAAATATTTTGTAAATAATTTATTAAATAAAAACCAATGGAATATATAAAATCACTAAATAATCCAATTCACAATTTTAGGGACTTATCAGAACAATAAACAAACGTGGACACACAATCCACGAGGGTAAATAACCAAATGCGGCTCATGCCACGAAGACAAACGTGGACACACAGTCCACGAGGGTATATAACTAAACGCAGCTGAAGCCACGAAACAAACGTGGACACACAGTCCACGAAGGTAATGCTAACCAAACGCGGCTTTAAGCCACGAAACAAACGTGAGTACGATGCTCACGAATAACCATCCCTCCATTCCACGTGCGTTGGCCATCGCATGGGGCTAGCACCTCCTATACACACCCTGCTAGCTAGGTGTACCATGGCGCGCCAAGGGCTAACGGAACTGCCGTTAGCAACCAGTGTTCTATATAAAGTCCCTTTGTAAAAACCATTTTCAAACATGCGAGAAATTGATCACCATTCAATCAAATTTTCCTTTCCAATGTCAAACTCGCATGAATCGTTTTCCCGTAACAATTCAATAATTTCCAAATTGAAATCCCATAATTAGAATTCAAACTTGCATTTACTGATTAACTAAAATGATCAATCCTGGTAAAATAATTTCACAAAATAAAGTAATTTAATCAACAAAATATCTCATAATCACATTGTTGTCGTAAAAAAGAATTTGCATAAAAATGTAATATTTGAATAAAAGAGATTTTAATGAAATATCAGTTGGGACGCTATCCACTTACCTGAAATTTTGGGAATTTACAAATTCACCTCTAACCATCGTTCCAATTTCTCCTCCTCCAAATACCCTGTAAATTAAAATAAAATTCTCTTTTTTTTTTCCTTCTAACTTTCTATAAATCCAATTATTTCCTCCTAACATTACTACTATAAAAATTTAGCTATGGAAAATTTAAAATTTAAACTTTTACACTTAATAATCCCTTTGGCTCATTATTCGAATAAAATATCATCTCCCCTTAATCCTTTGTCAAAGTACCAACCATATATTATTTCCAACCCACTCATAAGAGTTTCTAGTATTCTCATCTTTTATCACAAAACTTATCCACAACCATGTATCTCCTAAAAGTTCAAATAGTTGATACTAATTTCATACTCAAATTTTCTTTAAAATCTTCAAATCAAATTCATGAGCAATAATACTTAAATTTTTTTTTTCAAGCTCAAACTAACTCCTTCCTCTTTGATTCTATCTCCCACAATTCTTTAACAGATATAAGTAAACATTTGGCTTCCTAATTTTCTTCTCTTTATTAGACCAATCAGTCTTAACTTAAGGAAATTAAATCACCAATTCCCACATTCCCATAGCAAGACTAAACCAGAAATTCATTTTCAATTTACACTCTTTCCTTCTCTCCCAGTTACGTTAGTAACAGCAGCCAACAGGACAGAACACAATTGCAGCATTACTCTACCTTTTCATCCATTCACACGCAGCGAGATTTTCTAAAGAAAAAAAAAAGGAGATTATCTTATTACCTTAGACAGACCAACAGCACACGAACAAGAAAGGAGGAGGCACTTCGAACAGTGAAGACGGAAGGACTGTCACAGTTAATGAAGAACGGATGAGCATACCGATGATAATAAAATGAACAAGAAGCAAAATAAATCTCAGCTCACCCAAGCCTTTGCACACAACGAAGCAACAAGGAAAAAGAAAGAGATTCAGCATACTTGAAACAATGACAGAGACAGAGGAACGACTGTGAGACAGGGGAAGAATTCGCAGCAGTGGCAAAAGAACAGCGATAAGCCACCGATGATAGCGACCCACACGAACAGCGACGTAGCCATTGGTTGAGAAGGAGGGTGCGGAGATCGATGAGAGGCAGTGCAAGGGTTTGGTGCGGACTCTCAACTCTGCCTCTGCTCTAGAAGACTCGAAGAAGACAAGAATAAAAGAGAGAGAGAGAGAGAAAAAAATCTGATCAGGATGAGGATAATTTGGTAATTTCTTACAGTGACAGAAAAAAAATAAAACTCCATATGGTCTTGTTCAGATTCGAACTTGGAACCTGATGGTTGATGTATATGCATTCTTCCACTACACCAATACTCCATATTGTCATATTTGTTCTAAGAATTAATATAATCACTATTAAAATACAAACTTATATACTTAATTTTACTTAAAATTTATGGGTTATCACATTCTCCCCCCCTTAGGAAATTTGGTCCTCCGAATTTAAATTTGTGCTTGCCTCAATCCTCAAATAGATGTGGATACTAACACACATATCACTTTTGACTTCCCATGTAACTTTTTTTTTTTTTAAGAATGATTACGCCACAACACTTTCACCAAAGTAATTTCTTTACTTGTCTATCCAAAATGGCCACAGGAACTGCCTTGTAAGATTAAGTCGGGGCCTATCTGAATCCGTTTAGTTTCTATCACATGAGAAGAGTCATATAATATTTCTGTAGCATTGATACATGAAAACTAGATAAATACCTGATAATTAAAACAATAATGCCAAACGATAAACAATTGCACCAATTCTCTCTAAGATTTCAAATGGGCCCATATACCTTGGGCTCAGTTTACATCTCTTCCAAAATCTCATCACTCTTTTCATAGGAGACACTTTAAGAAATACTTTATCCTTGACCATAAATTCTAACTCTCAATATTGGTTATCAACATAAGACTTCTATCGAATCTAAGCTGTTATTAATCTTTCTCTAATTATTTCCACTTTCTTAATGGCATCTTGCACCAAATCTGGTTCCAAAAGCTTAGCATCACCAACATCAAATCATCCATTATGAGATCTACATTATCTATAATCTGTCATAAAGTGCCTCATATGAAGCCATTTGTATACTAACTTGATAACTGATATTGTTGGCAAACTCTACTAATGCTAAGTAACGATCCCAACTACCACCAAAATCTAAAATACAAGACCTTAGGATATACTCAAGTATTTGAATGGTTCTCTCAGACTGGCCATATGTTTGTGGATGAAAAGTAGTATTCAGATTTAGTTGAGTACCTAAAGCATCTTGGAATGATCTCTAGGACCGAGAAGTAAACTGAGAACTTTCATCAGAAATTATGGATACTGGGACTCCATACAATCGAACAATTTCATCAATATACAATTAAACATACTTATCGACATTATAAGTCATCTTCGCTGGAATGAAATGAGCTTATTTAGTCCATCTATCAACAATAACATAAATAGAACCATACTCTCTTCCTGGTCAACTTCGAACTTAGTGTTACTTCCTGCTACGACTGCTTCCTTTAACTTGCATAACTTTGGACCCAAGAATTGAGCACTCTTAATCTGATCTATTAAAGAAGAACGAGCTTGTGCATGAGTTAAAAATGCTACCTTATCAATAATTTCAAACTTTACTCCACTCTACTCAAACTTAATAATTTCTTGCACTAAAGGCCTTCTTGCCAAAGTCATATGCACTAAGCTACTCATTGGCTTTCTACTTAACACATCAGTTATGACATTTGTCTTGACAGGATGATAAAGAATTAAACAAGCATAATCCTTAAGTAACTCCATCCATCTCTTTTGTCTACGATTAAGCTCCTTTTGCTCCTTAAGTTTCCTTAAAGCATAAGCAATAACTCACCCATGTTGCATTAAGACACGCCCTAGACCCACACGAGAAGCATCACAATAAATTGCATACCCTCCGCTGCCTGATGGTAAAATCAAGATTGGTGCTGAAGTTAAACACTCCTTCAATTTTCAAAAATATCTTCATACTTGTCGTCCTATTCAAACTATACATTCTTATAAGTCAATCTCGTCAGCAGAGCAGTTATTATTTTATTTATTTTTTTTTTCAAAGGTCTTTGACAAAACGATGATAGTATCCTGCAAGACCCAAGAAATTATGAATTTCTGTAATTGTAGTACGCTGTGGCCAATTATGCACTGCTTCTACTTTACTTGGATCCACCTGAATACCGTCTTTAGAAACATGTCCCAAAAAGATCACTTTATCAAGCCAAAATTCATATTTAGAGAACTTGGCATAAAGTTGTTACTCCCTCAACATCTGTAAAACAAGCCGCAAATGATGTTCATGCTCTTCTGGGCTCTTTGAATATATCAAAATATCATCAATAAAAATGATCACGAACTTATCGAGGAATGGTCTAAACACCTGATTTACCATGAACGCTGCCAGTGCATTAGTTAAGTTAAATGACATTACAAGGAATTTGTAATGATCATATCAAGTTCTAAATGAAATCTTAGGTATGTCCTCTTTGATCTTTAATTGATGATAACCCGAACGCAAGTCTATTTTTTTTTTTTGAAAAACACTGGGCTCCTTGCGACTGATCAAAAAGATCATCGATTCGGGATAGTGGGTACTTATTTTTCACTGTCACTTTATTAAACTATTGATAATCGATGCAAAGTCTTAATGACCCATCCTTTTTACTTACAAAGAATACTAGTGCTTCCTAAGGAGATATGCCAGGTCGGATAAATTCCTTATCTAATACTTCTTGCAATTGAATTTTAAGTTCTATTAGCTCAATAGTTGCCATTCTATAAAGCAGAATAATAAATGATTGAGTATCAAAAACCAAGTCAATGGGCAATTCAATCTCCCAATCATGTGGTAGTCTAGGTAATTCTTTTGAAAAAGAACATCTAGAAATTCTTGAACAATTGGAACTCGATCCAACTTACAATGGGCTCTTCAATATCTCTGACCACTATTAAGAACCCTTGACAACCCTTTTGCAATAACCGTTAGGCTTTCCAGGCTAAAATTAAATTAGATGATCTTTCTATAAAACTCCCTTGTAATATAAAAGGAGTTTCACATGTAGCAACATCATTTAAAACTCTAGCACCTGTCTCGTTATAGCATAAACTCTCGCTAGTCTTTTCCTTGAAGAAGACTATCCTCACTTCTCATTTCCTCTTCCAAACATACCCTTACTGACTAAAGTAAGGTGGTCCTAATAAGTAGGACTAAAGATGAAGTAGGACGTGAAGGAAGTTGAACTAACCCATGACTTGAGATTGACGGAATATATTTCTTCTCAAATCACTCATTTGCCAGCATTCAAAGCATGCACCAAACACTCATTGCATGGTCCTTAAATAATATTTCTCATAACTAGCACAAAGAACTCTAATGTAACCCGATTGATTTAGGATTTGGAACTGACTAGGCTCGAGGCCTAACATGGCTAGGATTAGATCTCACGATAAGAGTACTTGCTGATGACAAACCATATGATCTACATCTAGACTACATGGCACGAAAGTGAGATTGACCTAAAAATTGATGACTTTTGGAGAAAGAACTAGGAAATTTCTCATTGTTCTCTCTCTTGCATTTCTTAGAAATTGCTTCCTCTACTTTATGTCAATTTTCAATTCTCAATGCGCTATTAATAATCTCAGCATAAGTAACATCACAACCCAACATAGGTGATATATTATCATGTATGTTTACTAACAATCCATATAGAAACCTGCTAATCCATTCCTTTTTAGTTGGTACAATATAGGAAGCAAAAGAAGATAACTCTGTGAACTTCTAATCATTTTCTATAATTGACATTCCTTCACTGTATTTTAGAGTTAAAAGCTCTTCAACTTTTTGCATCTTTGGTACTTTAAGGCATATATCGATTCAGAAAGGTAGTTTTGAGCTCTTCCCATGACAAAGACAATATCCTAATTGTATGCAGATGTGGGACTATCATTATTACTATTATTGCTAAACTGCTCACTACTTCTTAAGGCTAAAACATTGTAAATTTGACATACTGAACATTAGGGCACCTCAAGGCCCCAACATCTCTTCTCAATTCCTTTAAGAAAATTATATTAGGTCCTCTCGTATATTGATTCCCTAAAAGGAAAGAGGATTTAGCTTTAAAAATTCTGACAACTTTACTACAAATGGTCCCTTTAGCACAACATATGTTGAAGGGACAGCCTGTTTCTCAGACTGAAAACTTATTCGTTCATCTCTAGAAGGAATATCTTAGAGGAACCCAAAGGTTCAACCACCTCTAGTCTTGATCCTATTCTAATGCCGTCCTTTACATCTCAAGGGCACATCATCTATAAAAAAATTCTACCAGAAGTCTACTAGTAAAGCCCCTAGTAGATATTAGATGTTTGAGTGGCATGATTTACTATAAAAAGAGATAAAATAAATATTTAGTTTCAAATACAGTTTTATACAACAAAAGAAACCAATCACAAGAAACAAACGATATTCGAAAACTTCTTATAGAACCTTTAATGATGCCTCAATTATAATTATGCCCGGGTTTATAATGATAATTGAGACCTCACTAGAAAGTTCTTGCTCCACATAGATATCTAAAAACCCTAGCTCTGATACCAATCTGTCACGTCTCGAAAATAGAGGGTGACTGGCACGGGTGCGAACTACATCATGCATTCCCGTAAGCCTTAAAATAAAAATTCCTTCCATTTTAAAAATAATCAAATTATATAGAAATTCTAACACTTTTAATATTGATTGTCATAACCAGACTTCAACATTTTTTTTAAAAAAAAATTTTGATAGCACCTCCTCTGTAAATACGATCTTCTGAAAATTCTAAAACAAAATTTTCTTGAAAATAGTATCAATCAGGAGCTTAGCTCCTTCCAGCCAACAACAGCATGTAAATCAAAATAAAATCCTAACAACAATCTATGTGGAGCAGCTAATCTTTCTTTTAAATTAAAAATACATACGACTTAAAGATTTATATCAAAAAGTGACAGTACCAAACAAAATTTCCACCCAATGTAGCTATATTGCCCTTAGAGGTCGTTGGTAGGATCAGCGTTAGCTAACAAATCTGAGACCAAAAATAAGTTTTCCAGTGAATAACGTCCCAACAATAATTAATTGATCATGAATAAACAAGAAAGTTCAAAATAATTATACAATTAAAGAGACAACTTCTTTCATGGAAATTCAATAAACTTCAGAATAAAATAGCTCTATAAGCTTTTAAATAAAATCTTAAACCATTGAACTATCATAACAAATGTTAATATCATCTAATTTCAAGAAAGCACAAAATGAAATAAATATTTTGTAAATAATTTATTAAATAAAAACCAATGGAATATATAAAATCACTAAATAATCCAATTCACAATTTTAGGGACTTATCAGAACAATAAACAAACGTGGACACACAATCCACGAGGGTAAATAACCAAATGCGGCTCATGCCACGAAGACAAACGTGGACACACAGTCCACGAGGGTATATAACTAAACGCAGCTGAAGCCACGAAACAAACGTGGACACACAGTCCACGAAGGTAATGCTAACCAAACGCGGCTTTAAGCCACGAAACAAACGTGAGTACGATGCTCACGAATAACCATCCCTCCATTCCACGTGCGTTGGCCATCGCATGGGGCTAGCACCTCCTATACACACCCTGCTAGCTAGGTGTACCATGGCGCGCCAAGGGCTAACGGAACTGCCGTTAGCAACCAGTGTTCTATATAAAGTCCCTTTGTAAAAACCATTTTCAAACATGCGAGAAATTGATCACCATTCAATCAAATTTTCCTTTCCAATGTCAAACTCGCATGAATCGTTTTCCCGTAACAATTCAATAATTTCCAAATTGAAATCCCATAATTAGAATTCAAACTTGCATTTACTGATTAACTAAAATGATCAATCCTGGTAAAATAATTTCACAAAATAAAGTAATTTAATCAACAAAATATCTCATAATCACATTGTTGTCGTAAAAAAGAATTTGCATAAAAATGTAATATTTGAATAAAAGAGATTTTAATGAAATATCAGTTGGGACGCTATCCACTTACCTGAAATTTTGGGAATTTACAAATTCACCTCTAACCATCGTTCCAATTTCTCCTCCTCCAAATACCCTGTAAATTAAAATAAAATTCTCTTTTTTTTTCCTTCTAACTTTCTATAAATCCAATTATTTCCTCCTAACATTACTACTATAAAAATTTAGCTATGGAAAATTTAAAATTTAAACTTTTACACTTAATAATCCCTTTGGCTCATTATTCGAATAAAATATCATCTCCCCTTAATCCTTTGTCAAAGTACCAACCATATATTATTTCCAACCCACTCATAAGAGTTTCTAGTATTCTCATCTTTTATCACAAAACTTATCCACAACCATGTATCTCCTAAAAGTTCAAATAGTTGATACTAATTTCATACTCAAATTTTCTTTAAAATCTTCAAATCAAATTCATGAGCAATAATACTTAAATTTTTTTTTTCAAGCTCAAACTAACTCCTTCCTCTTTGATTCTATCTCCCACAATTCTTTAACAGATATAAGTAAACATTTGGCTTCCTAATTTTCTTCTCTTTATTAGACCAATCAGTCTTAACTTAAGGAAATTAAATCACCAATTCCCACATTCCCATAGCAAGACTAAACCAGAAATTCATTTTCAATTTACACTCTTTCCTTCTCTCCCAGTTACGTTAGTAGCAGCAGCCAACAGGACAGAACACAATTGCAGCATTACTCTACCTTTTCATCCATTCACACGCAGCGAGATTTTCTAAAGAAAAAAAAAAGGAGATTATCTTATTACCTTAGACAGACCAACAGCACACGAACAAGAAAGGAGGAGGCACTTCGAACAGTGAAGACGGAAGGACTGTCACAGTTAATGAAGAACGGATGAGCATACCGATGATAATAAAATGAACAAGAAGCAAAATAAATCTCAGCTCACCCAAGCCTTTGCACACAACGAAGCAACAAGGAAAAAGAAAGAGATTCAGCATACTTGAAACAATGACAGAGACAGAGGAACGACTGTGAGACAGGGGAAGAATTCGCAGCAGTGGCAGAAGAACAGCGATAAGCCACCGATGATAGCGACCCACACGAACAGCGACGTAGCCATTGGTTGAGAAGGAGGGTGCGGAGATCGATGAGAGGCAGTGCAAGGGTTTGGTGCGGACTCTCAACGCTGCCTCTGCTCTAGAAGACTCGAAGAAGACAAGAATAAAAGAGAGAGAGAGAAAAAAATCTGATCAGGATGAGGATAATTTGGTAATTTCTTACAGTGGCAGAAAAAAAATAAAACTCCCTATGGCCTTGTTCAGATTCGAACTTGGGGCCTGATGGTTGATGTATATGCATTCTTCTACTACACCAATACTCCATATTGTCATATTTGTTCTAAGAATTAATATAATCACTATTAAAATACAAACTTATATACTTAATTTTACTTAAAATTTATGGGTTATCACAGTTTATTTTTATATTGACATATTTTTTCTTTTTTTATTAGGGCAATTGTGTTGTACCACACAAACACTAAACAAACAATTCCAAGGTCATTTACAAATTTCGATGCAGCTTACACTTGGAATATAATAAAGGTAATTAATATCATTTTTTAATTTAAATATTCATAATTTTTTAATGCATTAATATGTACTCATTGGTTCTTTAATTTGTAGTGCCCAAGACAAATGAAAAATAGCTTGGATTGAGGCTTTTGTGTTATGAGGTTCATGAAAGACATCATTATCCATAATGAGAGCACAATTCCTATGATAGTATGCCAACAATTAATTTTCACTTTATAATTGCTAATGAATATAATTTATTAAAATAAATTTATGATGGATAATTTATGTTTTACAGTACTATGAGGATTCCTGCATTGAAGAATTTGGGTATGTACAAATAAATGAGGTAATTGGAGAGTGGTGCCAGTACATATTCCAAGTGTGGTCATTACACAAAGATGAGAATCAATAGATTTAGCGCAAGTAGGATGAGTGTTTATAGTTTTACTAGTTTTCATTCATTATTTAATATTAGTTGGTAAATTACTTTCCTTTAAAAAATTCTATACATTGATTGCTTGATAGATTAGAATAAGAGATTAGTTTTTATTTCATTTTGTATTGATTATAATTAAATTTTAATTGATATTCATGTATAAAAATTTTGGAATTGCTGTCTGGTTATTATTTATATAGTTATTACAGAAAGATTGCTACAAATAACAAACCTCTATTTAAAAAAAAAACACCATAGAACATATGACAGGCAAATATTCGCCCATCATTTATTCACAATAAATAATGGGCAAAAATTTGCCCATCATTTATTATTATCATAAATGACGGGCAAATCCCGTCATTTATTGTGACAAAACAATATATGACGGGCAAATATTTACCCGTCATTTATTGTAAAAATTTGCCAGTTATTTATGATAAGAATAAATGACAGGTATTTTAAACACCCGTCATTTATTCTTTCAAAAGGAACAATAGGTTATTTAACCATCATTTATACAAAGGAATAAATGATGAGTAAATAACCATTATTTATTTGGAGAAACTTTAAATGATAGGGTCATAATTGATGGTTCATTTATAAGCAAACAAAAGCTGTCATTTATGTCATTTTTTGTAATAGTGTGAATTTTAAAACTAAAGTTTGCTTATAGCTAAACTGGCAAAAAGTAAATGTTAAGGGTTTGGAGTGCTAGAGGTTGTGGGTTCAAACCAAGGAGGGCACATTCTATGAAATAACAATTATGATCAACAATATAAAGCACTTGAGGTCATAGGTTCAAGTTGTGGGTGGTTGGAGAAGGCAAGAAGAATTTCAATAATTTTTTTTCATCTTTAAAAAAGATCTAAAAAATCAATGACAAATAATTAGTGATGGGCAATTCTATCACAAAATTAGTGACAGACATATATCCATCACATGGATTAGTGATGCCATATTTCTGGCAGATTTAGCGATAAAAATTTTTGTCACTAAATCAAAAATTAGTGATGGAATTTGTTGTTTAGTGATGGATTTGGTTGTCACTAATATCATTTTCTCTAGTAGTGCATGCTTGTCAATCATTCTAACCAAGTCTTACTAAAGAGTGAGTTTTGAAAATAAAAATTTTTCTTAAAATCTTATCTTTTAAAACAAATGATATTTTTTACCATATTTGGGTTCTATATTGAGCTATATGATTTTCAAAATGTTTAAACATGTTGATGTTCAAAGTGAAACTTGAATTTCTAATAAAATTATAATTGAATTCATATGGTAATAGTTTTTACATTTACGTAACTATTAATATATATATATACACATACATATAAGGTACGTGCTATATTATTTTTAATTGATTATTTTATTAAACTTATAAGAAACTCATTGATGTACCTTCCATTATTTCCATCAATTGTAATTGGGACATTATCCACTGGTAAAATTATTTTTGGTCTCAAATAATGTAGTTGACATTGTACATCCTAATGAGCGGTAAGGAACTTTTGGCTAAGTAAGATGGAGATTTGTTTTGTAAATATTTCTTTTTGATGTAATAATAAAACTTATGTATTATGTTTTGAAAATATGATTAGGTGCTCCATATAGATTATAGTTAAGATCCTCGTCTTAATTAACTATTACTTTTTTGTTGACTGATAGGAGCAAAGCTCCTTCTGGTTGTTGTGCTGGAAATTATGTTGAAAAGTTTTGTGAGGTCTTATTAGCTCCACATACACCGTAGTTAAGCCCTAGTTTTATTTTGCTGGTATATAGAGCTAGTCTCCTTTACTCAATTGATTGATTAGTTTCGCTATTGTAGGAATTTTGGGAGGTTCAAATTATAGGGGAAACTTTGCCAAAATTTCTACAAAATATTCAAGACTTTATGAACTTTATAAACATATATAAAAACTATATATTGATGTTTTAGCTTAATTTTTGCTAATTAAGACTTATGAAATGCGAGGTTATCTCATATTCCGTGCCAGTCATACCCTTAGTACCGAGGTGTGACAACTATAGTCATGTATTGTGCTAGAAACATAATGAGAAGAATGCTGCTATAGGGCTTCAAGTGCATTTGTTCACATTCAAGGTAGGATCAATGATACTGAAAGCATGGAAGATATTATTACTTATCACCTAATGCGTGTTTAAGTGGGAATGGAAGATTATCGTATGTTGGTTTGTGGAAGTTTGAGTGTTATTAAGAAAAAAAACAACAAAAACAAGCAAACAAAACAACAAAAGTTGCTCTTGTCGATTGTAATTGATTAAGCTTGTGTTTAGATTGAGGAACTCAACATTTGGCTTAACTTTGTTGTAAGTTGTCTAGTTGTTTAAAATTTGAAAGTTTTTCTGACTTAAGAAAATTGTCACCTGATCATATTTTGCTTAAGAGATTTATTTTCCTTGCTATATCAAGTACACAAGTGCTGCAGGTAGCTAGAAAGATCTTGATGAAGATAAATTCTTTTGTTGCTGCAAATGCATTGGTTTTGTAAAACTAAGTATGATGAATTTTTTAAATGCATTATAAATTGGCTTTTATTGTTTTAAATGCATGATTCCTATTATGGGCATAAACAAATGTCTACTTGAGTTTGTATGAGCACGAAATCAGCTATGGCAAAGACAATAGTGGAAGTATAAATATTTTTAAAAAAAAGTATATCATATAAACTTTTCTTTTACAAGCCAGGTCGTCTTAAGCACTATTTGTGGTATGATTATATCTCAAAGTCATCTAAGTTGGACATGCATTTGGTTCCTTCCTTCTAAAGTTTAGGATTAGTTATCACACATGCAAATTGGATTTCAAGCATTCTATGACTATTAACTTTCATAATTAAATACAATGGTTTGGATCTAGTTAACATGTTGATTGTTTGATTACCTTCTTGATGAGGAAGACTTGTGATACTCTGACACACACACGCACATGCGCACGCACGCACACAATTTTGGCATGACATGCCTATTGGACAAGGATTTAGTGTGAAAAATTTACTAGTCTTGGTTTGAATATATTAATTCTAATTGGTCCAAGGATTAGATTTTTTTTTTGAAACTTAGTTTTACTTGAGATATTACTTTGATTTGTAACTTTTGTTGTGAGTCAACCGAAGTTGGCATTTTGCTTGATCTGTCAAGTTAAAAGAGAGCAATGTTCTTGCAATCATAGTTTCATGGATTTTAATTCATGTTTGGTCATGATTCCTATTCAAAAGAACTTGATCTTGTTAGCGGAATTTGATTTTTGTTATTGCATATTTATGATTTGTTTTGGTTGAAAGGGTTGCATGTGTAAGAACTTTTTGTGGATAGCCTTGCAATTAAAGGCTGTTAAGAACTAATTTTATTTGGGCTCTATTTGTCTTTAAAGGTTTATGCTTGAGGTTGCTGAACTCTTCTCCCTTCTGCCCTGTTCGTGCGCATCTGACATTTTTTTTTTTTTACATCTCTGTCAAACATTATGCTGTCTTGGTGCGAACAAGAGAGCTTCAGTTCTTGTTTCTTCTCGATGCCATTTGTTCACCATTGTAGATCGCCGTTCATTTCGGGATTTCTTCTCCCCTGTTTTTTTCCCCCCTTCTTTGGATTCCTTCTTCTCCATCACTGCTGTCGACGCTACAGTAAGAGTAATCAAAGTTTCGAATCTTCCTTCTTCCCTTCATTTTTCTACTGTTGTCGCAAGGGTAAAGAACTGAACCTCCTCCTCTTCGTTGCTGTGAGAGAAATTTTTGATTCAACATCTCTCTCTCTCTCTTGTTCTCACAATTTGAGGTATTCCTAATCCTTTTCTCGTGGTTACGGCTGGTTGTGAGTAAATTTAGGATTTAGCATGTTCGTTATTTGAAACTATTGATTAGATTAAGTGATTTATTTTGATTGAGGTATTTGATTAAGCTTATCCTTACGAATTGACCAAGTGAAGAATAATCCTAGGTATGTGTCATTACTCATTGACTACAAAATTCCCACTAAAATATATGATTTTATTATTTTTGTTTGAAGTTTTCTTTTACTCTAATTAATTAATTGCTTTGGTCAAATTAAGTAAAAGTGTGAAATTAATTTTTGACCAAAATTTAGAACCAAATCTTCATATGAATGTTGTTATACTCATTTTGTATTACATGTTACAAGGCCTATATGTACTTGCAGGGATGTAGCTATACAATCTTTTTGGCATCACTACAAATTAAGTGTGAAGCCTAATTTCATTTATTTCCTAAACTCATTATATTAAATGTAGGTAAGGAAAAATTGAGGAAAATGGTGCTTCAGAATCAAATAAAAAATAATAATGACATTTTAAGACCCCAAGTCTTCAAAATATCACTTGAAATTTTTGATCCGTTACTGACATTTTGGGGCAACAATTTTTCAAAATATGTATTTTCTTTAGTTGAAACTACAAAATGACACCTAATTTATTTT